ATTTTAAACAATAAGTAGTAACTCACCCCACCCAACAAAAATTATTATTTTATTTGGGGTTAATATGTACCTATATTTAAGCTTTTAGACGATTTGATTTTCAAAAAATTGTTTTATAATGATAATAATTAACGTATTAAAATTACTATGTATACAATATTAAAATTATGATATCTACCTGTGAAAAAAACTAAATGTATGTTTTGTAGAGTGTTTTTTGATTTTTCATAAAAAAAATAATACCATGTTTTTTCCAATTGAATAAANTAAAAGAAATAATACCATGTTTTTTCCAATTGAATAAATATAATATATAGGGTGTTCAATAAGTTCGGAAACACCGATTTTTTAGAGCCGCTATTGATTTTTTTAATAATTTTTTTTTTTAGAGACTAATTGAATAATTAAATGCATCTTTTACGATTAAAATTAAAGTTCAACCCTAATGCAAAGGGGTAGAAATCTACCCTAACTTAAGAAATTTAAATGGCAACCCCTAATTTTTCTTACTCAATTCAATAGAGAATTCAATTTTAAAAAGAATTATCGTGAAAATAACTTTTTATGTTAAACCATTTTTAAATAATCGTCGTTTTAAGGGTAGAAAAGTGTCCTATTTAAAGGCAGATTTTGCTATGATAATTTTTATAAATTTAATTTTATAAAGATGATATCAATTGCAAATTATCTGCAAATTTATTAAGAAAAAAAATTTTTTATTAAAGCATGTAAAAAGAACTTAAATGGATATTTTAAAAATCGCTCTCTTATACGCGATCTTTAATTGGGGTATTTGTAGAATAAAGCATTATCGATCCATGCATATCATAATGTTTCCGGACTTTTTCCTATAGGAGTTTTAGCATTGGTATCTAACATACATAACTAGTGTACACTTTTATCTGTGACCGTTGAAACGTTTTCAATTGTTATAGTCGCTTTATCGACAATTAGTGTCATTTAAAGTACATCATGCTGTCAAACATATTACAGGTAGTAGTTTGTAAGTTTACACAAAAATTATCAGTGATCATTATAACATTATTATTATTCAATACGCAACAACGTTTCCAAACTTATGCCTATAGGAGTTGTAATATACTTTTCAACTACCAACTAATAATTATTTTTAATTCAGGTTTAAGTAACTTGTCCACATATTTTCTAATATTACAANCAACGTTTCCAAACTTATGCCTATAGGAGTTGTAATATACTTTTCAACTACCAACTAATAATTATTTTTAACTCAGGTTTAAGTAACTTGTCCACATATTTTCTAATATTACAATTGATCTATCGACAGTTATGGGATTATTTTTAATATTAGTGCCTAAATTCAATTCTAATTTATCTGTAAGTGATACAGCCCTTATCAAAGGTAATGCAACAGTTGGTCGTCATTTTTNTGATCTATCGACAGTTATGGGATTATTTTTAATATTAGTGCCTAAATTCAATTCTAATTTATCTGTAAGTGATACAGCCCTTAGCATAGGTAATGCAACAGTTTGTCGTCGTTTTTAAACCGATTACTATTTACCAACTGATTGTTGTAATATTATTATGTTATCATAAAATACAGTGTTTTTAAATTTTGTTATTCAAATGAAAAATAGCGGATAATAATATTATCATACANATTTTGTTATTCAAATGAAAAATAGCAGATAATAATATTATCATACAAATTTTCAATTCACAGTTCGAGTATATTTTTATAAGGAATATTTAAATATTTAATAATTTAATATTTAAAGAATCTTCTAATTTCTATGGTATTTTTTTACTATTTGCTAAAATTTTGAACAACTGATATTTTTTTAACTGACTAGTTTAGAATTCAAGTTAAATATTAATATGATATAATCAAACTTTTTTTGTAACATGTAAGTAAATGATAAAAAAAGAACAGTTTTGTTTCTATTTATTAAAATTTTAATTTTGTATTATTTTATTATTGTTTTTATAAGGTGTTCAAATTGATGTCCATTAACTATTAAACAATGACTTAATCGATTCTCAAACTCATGAGTAACATTTCGCAAAATGTTTTGTGGTATGCAATCCATCACATTTACTATTTCATAACGGAGTTCTTCTAATGTATTGGGCCTCTTTTTGTAAACTTCAGATTTAACGTAACCCCATAAAAAAAAATCTAATGGACTTAGATCAGGAGATCGTGGCGGCCATTCAATGAATCCTCCACGTCCAATCCATCTATCTTCAAAAGTCTCATTTAAAAATCTTCTCACATCTAAGCTAAAATGAGCTGGAGCACCGTCCTGCTGGTACCAAATATTAGTGAGATCATCAAAACTGATAGCCTTAATTGCTGGAACAATTTGGTTTCTTAACAATTCTTTATATTTAGAGCTATTTAAGTTATTTTCTATGAAGAATGGTCCAACTATTTTGTAATTAAATATCCCAGCCCATACATTCAACTTCTCTGGATATTGTGTGTGGGCTTCTATAAACCAATGAGGGTTCTCATCAGCCCAATAAACTGAATTATGTCGATTTATGTTGCCATTAAGAAAAAAAAGTAGCTTCATCAGAAAATACAATATATTTTGTAAAAAAACTATTTCCATTATATTTTTCCAATATTGTTTCACAAAATGTTACTCTTCTTTCATAATCATCATATTTTAAGCTCTGTACCAAATTGACTTTATATGGATGATAATCTGCATTGTGTAAAATATTAAACACTGATCCTATACTTAAATTCTTATCCTTCGAAATTGCTCGAATTGAGGTATGTGGATTCTCAACAACAGTCTCTATAACTTTACATGACACATCTAATGTTACTACCGAGGTAGGACGGCCAGACCTATTCCTATCTGTAACTATCTTTTCGTTCCAAAATTTGTTATGGGTTTTAAATACTGTACCAACCGAAATAGGAGCTCTATGATAATTTTGTTCATTAAAAAGTGTACAGGCTTGTTTCATTGTACGTTTTTTATCTCCAAATCCAATATAAATCAATAATTGTATACGTTCATATACTGATAACTTTCCCATAGTTATTCACAAGCTAGATAATAGAAAATAATTATTTTTATGAACATATTTAAAATATTATACTCTTACTAACTTTGATTTGAAATTCCATAAATGAAGAATGACTTAAATTCAAAAGAAAATGCGAACAAAATACTAATTTACTAATACTATGATTTTAATACCTTAAACTAAAGTAGAAAATGATTTAAATTGAAAATTGAAATATTTTCATGTATTTTTATTAGAAATAACTTAATATAAGAATATTTAAATAAAATTCAGAAGTACCACTGTACTAAAAACAAGAATAATATTCTATATTAAATATATGATTCTATTATTTATACTATTGAGAATATACCAAAAAATCTTGGTGTTAGATAACAGTTTATCTAATTACTTTGGTTAGGTGAATAAAGTGTTTTCTAATTTTAAAATTAACTAATTCCCCAACTATTTGTCGATACAAAGTAAACAATAAACATTATAGCACAAAATACTAGAATTTTTATTAAACAACTATGGTGTGTACAATGTACTTAATACAATGTGTATGTATATTGTACACACACACTATTTGATGCATATTTTATAAATTGTACATTTTTATAGGAAAAAATGATTTTACTCTTATTTTTGTAAAAGTAGAGTTGTGTATTAGTAACTATTATGTCGTTATGATGAATTGCTGATGGATTAGTTTTATACTTTACACTTTTTTATTTCATAGATTGGCAAATTTATTCAACATTTTTACAACTGTATTGACAGTAAATAAGTTAGAAAATTTTATAATTGATTATATTTTTTACTTTTAATAAAATATCTTGATACATTAAGTGTGATTTTTTAACTTTTGTGTTTCATATTTGTTAAAGTATAACCTCATGAAGTTTTGTTTTATTTCATAACAGTTCTCTAATTTATTAATTCAAAAATTGATATCATGTAATATTTGCTGACATTTTGTACATGACAATACATTGTTGAGTACTAATTAAGTATTTTATCTTTATCATGCATCTTTAATTAGTAAAATTATTGGATCAAAGAAATTTAAGTCACAAATCAAAATTTATTTGATTTAAGTATAAATAATACAAAACATAATATTAGAAAATTATTAAAAAAAGACAGTTATTAATTTTTCACAAAATAAAACCAGTTCTGTTTTTAGAAAATTATCAAATTCCTTTAAATGTTGACGATCCAGTTTTGTTGTATACATTTTTTAATTTTTTTAAATAACTTTATAGAAATAATGGATGATAAATTATTAACATACATAATAAATGTGAAAAAAATTTCTATGATTTTAAATTGAATTGAAGTAAACTTCAGAATAGTAAATTCCAACTCCTAACATGTAAAATAAATTATTATTTATTTAAATAAAGTGATTGTAGGTTGAACATTTATAAATACAAATCAAAACAAAAATTGAATTGTAGAATAATTATAATTAAAAAGATGTGTTGGAAACTTTATTATGGAGTAGAACAATATACATTGTATTATCAATTAATGTTCCAAAATTAGTAATGAAAAATTTATTACAAATGTTATAGAATAAAAATTAATATATAAAAAAAAAAGTTAAACATAATTTTTACAATTACTAAAAAATTAAAAAACCAGCACTGGAGGGTCGCAGCAAAGTGGTGACGTGGCATAGTTGTGTTACGTCGCTATTTAGGGGTCTAGCCTAAATGCCCGTCGACAGTATTCTAAGGGACCAACGGGGGATAGCTGGCTAGGCTATATCTACCTTAGGTACTGAAGTTTCCTATTTAATTTATATTCCCTTAGAGGAACTACCAAGGGTCGCACTACAATATATATATATAACACTTTAGGTTAACAACGATATAAATAAATATTTATTAAGCAATTGAAATATTAAATGGATAATACAACCTGCTGGACACCTAGAGATGTTATAATCCAACAGGGAGCTGACGGCGACACACACACACACTATAATATACGGGGTAGCGAAGTTAAGTTAATTATCAGGCAAAAGTAGTGATCGCGAAGATGGTAAAATGTCAACTGTCGATAGGGATATCTTATTATGGCACATTGGCCGTGAATTGCAAAAAGTGTTTATGTGTGCAGTCCGCCCTCCTGTTAGTATTGCTGTATGTCACTGTGTTAATTATATATATATATATATATATATATTAAACGGTACAACGATGTTATGGGAGACAGAGATATGGGCACATGCAAATGTGATTGTATCAGCTGCTCCCCCTACACTTAAGGTCTGACCCTAGACCTTAATAAAAAAAAAACAAAATAACATTGGCAAAATAATGCTACGTAGGAAAAGAAAAAATATTTAAAATAAAAAAATTTGGAGGGACATTAGTGTCGTAGTAAGAACCTCTGGGTCTTCGATGTCCACACTCCTTAATTCACAAGCTTTTGAGCGTTGGAGGAGCTTCCTTCGTGTGGGCTCTCAATAGTCGGCTACCAAGCGGTTCCTATGAAAAGCCCGGCCCTGTCGTCGACTTCTTGAATAGTCTCGGGGCCCCAAAGAGTGTTCTCCGTGTTCTCGAGGTCTGTTCAGAACACTAACGCTTATTATTAAAAAAATTCAATAATTAAAAGGGGATGTTGGGGTACCGAATACAATCATAAGCAATGTATGCACAATAAATGATAAATGTTCATGAATTAAAAAAAAAATAATAATTTAATGTTATTTATGNGAATTAAAAAATAATAATAATTTATGTTATTTATGACAATAAAAAAAAAATAAGCTAAGTTAACCTAATGTATGTAGCCAAAACGTTGTCAAAAACTTGCATACATTTACAATAGGTGTCTTAAATTAAATTAAGCATGCTCGATAATAGTACTAATGTATACAGTAAAATATATGCGAAACATACACAGTGACCATCTCATAAAATTCAGTGTCCATTTATTATATATAAAAAAAAAGAAGAAATACACACAATAGGGTATTTTAATTTAGACTGACTTGCGCCTTAGTTGCGGGACGATTATATTATATAAATTATCCTATAATAAGGTTAGCCGTAATAACGGCTGTTTAAAAGACCACGATTTTTGCTGCTGTAACAACTTAGTTAACTTGTATATATTAAACGTGCATGTCGAATTGATTTTATAAAGAAATAATTTATTTAATAATATTATTTGGCTCGCTCTATTAGTACCAATTGTAATTATAAGTAATGGCTATTCAATAAGGTCATAATATGGTTTACAAAAGGATTTATTGTTGTAAACATATGAATAGAGTCCGTTATTCAAATTTGTCACGTAAGATTATAGGGATGTGGGGATGTGGCGACCGTTGACTGTATAGTGTTGTTCATTTTATGTTTGACCTATTTGGACTGAAGATGCCTGGAATGTTATATTGGAAATCATGTTTGGTAAGTACCACAATAAAATAATTTTTAAAATTTAATAATAATAACCAAGGGTTTTATTTGCCACAAATATTCTTTCAAGCCCAATTTTATAAAATTCGACACTATTTATTTTTCAAAATAGATTATTTAGAAGTAAATTTTCTTAAACCT